TAAACCCTAAACCCTCAACCCTTAGAACCCTAAACCCCAAACCCTAAACCCTAAACCCCCAACTCAAGACCTTAGTCTAATTATGAAAGCCTCCATCGAAGCCAAAACCCCCCAACCAACTCCGGTCCTTCCGAAGATTGAGAGTGGGTGCTTGTGGAACTTTGGGGTCTGATATTTAGGGTTTAGGGTTTAGGATTGGGTGCTTGTGGAACTTGGGAGCCTGATATTTAGGGTTTAGGGTTTAGGATTGGGTGCTTGTGGAACTTGGGGGTCTGATATTTAGGGTTTAGGGTTTAGGGTTTAGGGTTGGGTGCTTGTGGAACTTTGGGCCCTGATATGACACGTTCTGATAGGGTTACGGCAAGAGTTCTAGGGTTGAGGGTTTAGTGTTGAGGGTTTACTCAGAGTAAGCACGTTTTACAAGACCAGATGCGATTGTGGAAGAAGTTCGAGGCGGACAGAAAAGGCAGTGTTGACCAGGATGTGAGACATCATAGCTCCCCGCACGACCTTCCCGCGCAGGAGCTCTTGGGGCATTGGAGATTGTGGCACATCTACAGAACTGGCTTCGACGAGGGCTCTTCATCTTGGTATCATCTTGGTACAATAATACCCTAAACCCTAAACCCTAAACCCTAAGCCCTAAACCCTAAACCTTAAACCCTAAACCCTAAACCGTTTATAAGGCCAAGACAGGCAGGAGGTTATCCTACGAGTCCCTGGCAGCTCGGGAACTGCCCGGGTCGGCCGTGCGCAGCCTTGGGCAAGCGCTTGTTACTGGGGAAGGAACCGGAGGCTGAACCCTAAACCCTAAACCTTAGACCCTAACCCCTGAACCCTAAACCCTAAACCCTAACTGCTTGGAACACTGGCATCTATTGTGTTCGCTAAGGTGAGGCCTGTCTCTCCGATATCCCGAATGACATTCGCTCACTTATTATAGCCCGACTTACTACGTCCCATGATGACTATACAAGGGTGAAGGCTAGCTTGGGTTTCGGGGTTGAGGCTCTGAGGGTTTGAAAACACTCAGGGTCCTCTTGCAAAGGGTAGACCCGGACTCCTTGTTTCTTCGTGTCTGCCTGACTGGGTGTGGTTAGTCGACCTGGTCGTGGAAATGTAGCTTTGTAGGAAGTCCGCGGAAGCTTAAGTCCTAAACCCTAAACTCTAAACCTAAGTATATACTATTTGGGATGCTTAAGACAGGAAGAAGTCAAGAGTCTGTAGTGGCAAGGAACCGCCTTCAGACCTAGAGCCGCGTTAGAATAGGGGCTTTGATAATTACCTATACTATTTTGGGGGTTCCTGCTTATAACTTAATATTATAATATACCCCCAGAGCCCTATTCTAATTATTAAGGCCCCTACATTAGAGTGGGATCTTGGGCGAGCATGTCTTCTTGTCACTCCTATTACACGCGCTGATTCAATTTCAAGGGTTACCTGAAACTACCATAACCTACTATTTCTAGCTTCTTGTTATGAACTCAATCAAATATAGAATCTACAGGGACCGCATACAAAAAGCAGGTTTTGGTAGACCAAGGTATATCTTATACTCAAGGGGCCAGCAAGTTGAACTAGCCCGGACATTTTCTAGCATGCTAGGCTGCTTTTGCGGTTGGTTCTCCGATGAGTTCTGTCGCTCACCCTGTCTCGAATGGTATAAGGGTCCCTTTCAGGGTCCCCTTTATAGGGGTGGGCCGTACTATTTTGGGGACTTAAACACAGGCGCTATTCTAGGGAACTACCCGTATTCATCATGGCAAGGATCATCCAGAAGCATATTGCGACGTTTAGGGTCCTGCACAGTGATCCCGATGGACTTCCCCAAGGCTGTTGATTTGTTGCAGTGCTGTCAAAGGTTTTAGGGCTTAGGGACCAGAGTTTAGGGGTTTATGGTTTCGGGTTTGGGATTTGGGGTCAATGGCGAGGTCATACGCACACGGGGGCTTCAGCAACTCCTGCTATGCCTTACGGTGAATTTATGAGGGGTTACAGAAATACTTAAACGAACCCTTCCTTAGACCGAATCTCTCTACAGAGAGTGAGCCGCAATTACGGCCCTAAGCTACTGCTAATGTATAGATAGGGTTTAGGGTTTCGGGATTTGCTTTGGTCTAGAATCCATAATATGATTCTAGGGACCCCAAGAGGACATAAGCAGAATCACTTTATATGGATATCCCTACCTTGCTGGGCTTCATGATAAGGGGGGTTATCTGAGATATCCTTATCCTAATTATTGCTTAAGTGCTTTCTTAGGGCCGTACCCTAAACCCTAAACCCTAAACCCTAAACCCAAAGCGTGATAATGGGGTTTTGACACTTGCCAAATCATGCCAGGCCTTGCGGTTATCCTGCGGCTTCACCGTGGAGGCAGATACCGCAGAGTTGAAGAGGTCCTAAGGGTCTCCAAAAGATGTTATTATGAAAGATTTAAATTCCAAACTCTAAACCTTAGACCCCAAACCCTAAAGCCTAAACCCTCAACCCTAAACCCTAAACCCCAAAACAGCATAAGGCTTTAGGGTTTGACATTAAGGGTCCCTCAGTGCCAAACCCTCAAGCCCTATACTAAATCACGGAGGGGGGTTTAGGTTTAGGGTTTAGGGAGGAATGTGCGTTACTGCGACACTGTAGGAACTCGGAACGTCCTCGCTATCTTCCGATATGAACTCAGCTCAATAGGACAAACTATATGCCTTGGCGTTCTTCTGGTTGGCTCTTAGGACGGACTTTAACTTTAACTTTTTGGGTTTCTTTATGAAGCATATTAAGTAGTCTAAAAGTTTAATTTTTGGGAGGGGTTCAGAAGTCAGCCAAGAATAGGATAAAGTATGTGCATGATCGGCGTTGCGTTTCCAGGTTATGTGGGTCGGTTGCTGTGTAGGCGGTCTCGATGCAGGCCCGCTGGGAGGGAGCTGAAGTAGTTCGGCTGTTGAGGCACATATCTCAGTGAATGTCGACAGGTTTCGAACAAGCGTTGTGTAACTAGTCAGTGGGTCAGTGGCTATGGACGATGCCGACCGAAGGCACCCGTGGCAAAAGCCAACTCTCCAATGACGGAGCAGTCGTTGCAAAACCTTTGGAAACTGCAACGAAAGAAGGGGTTCGCCCTAAACCCTAAACCCTAAACCCTAAACCCTAAACCTCAGAGGTTCAGGAACGAGACCGAGCTCATCGGCCGGCCAACCACCCAGGCGAAAAGCTTCCGGGCAGGTTGTTTATGAATCCTGTTGCGGCGCCGAAGCGTGCACGTGGGCTTCATTCGGAGAACTCGTGCAACTGCATGGGAAGATCGTTGAAGCTGCGAATGCCGAGCCGACATCTTTGTAGCCTATGAAGTCTCGAGATTGAACGTGAAGCGACCGCAGTTCACGGTCTTCGCCTTTACGACGGCGATGTCGGCTCGACCTGGTGGACATGCACCAGAGCAGGATTCGTCCTGGCAAGACCTGTTGCAGAGGATGAACAGCTCGGGGCGGGCCACAGGCCATGAACGGTTCAACGAAGATCAACGATGTTAAAAAGCCTTGTACCTTTCAATCTTCCGTCTTAAGAACCAGAAAATGCTATCAAAGAGCCCATGGAACAAGAGCAATGAAAACCCTCCACCGTTTCCTGGAAGACAAGACTTTTGAAGAATGCATTTTAACAAACATCCCTGAACCTTCATGATTAGCAAAACATTGCAAAACAAGCAGCAATCTTGAAACATGCTACTGTGACATGCGAAAAAAGTGCCGCAACGTACAAACTAAACTTTCACGAAACCAGAAGAGCCAAAAACAACGCACCTTTCACCAAAAACACAGCAACACCTAAACCCTAAAACCTAACTAACCTAAAACCACAGCGAAGCCTAGCCCCCAACACCTAGTTGCACTAAGAAGCAATGGCTGCAGGAGCTGCTGGCGAAGCGGCGGCTGGCCGGTGATCTCCTGCTGCTTGGCTGGCCTTTTTTTGTGAGAGGGGGGTGGGGGGTGGGAGGTGGGGAGGGTTTAGTATTTAGGGAGTTGGGGGGCTGGGGGGTTGTGGGGAGGGGGTGGTGTCTTAGGTTTTTAGGTTTAGGGTTTTAGGTTTCTCATGGTTTAAGTAAGGGTCTTCTACGAGAAGTGCAGATTGTTCTCGGCACCAGGATCCATGTACCTGCACTGTGTGCTTGCAAGGTTAAGCTGGCTTTAGATTTCACATCTGCCTAGATGAGTCTATCAATTCCATTGAAATTGTGCCCCTATGCCGTTCTTTTCGCCTCGAAGTGGTGTCCCAGGCCTAGTACAGTTCCTTGCTGTTGATTCACTCCTTTATGGGATTCCCAGACAAGGGCTACACTCATACACAGCATTCTATGTAAAGAGTGTCTTTGGATATATGCGACACCACCAGTTTGTACCAGCCTGCACAAGTTGCAGGAATCATTCCCTTCCCTTGTATCGAGCCCAATTACCCATGAAACCCTTTTATAAGCAAGAGTCCTGTGCAACCCCCACAGTCGCCGACACACCTTCATGTGGAACCCCACAGCAACAGACTAACATGCCATGGAAACTCGTGGTAAAGTCACAAAACCCGCGGACACGACAGAAATCCAAACGTGTTACCTTTTTGGGGAGGGTTCCTAGACTCCTGAACACTTGTTTAACAAACAAGAAACATGAGGAAGCAGCAGAATACCTTTATCTTTCGAGATTCGAGGAGGGAGCTTGCGGAGCACTTGGACCGAGTCTGTCGGGTGCCTTGGCTAATGGATGTAGAGTTTGGGGGTCTAACCACTAAACCCTAAACCCTGAAACCCTAAACCGTGGCTAACTTGACGGGGATCTGTATGTACGGGTGCTATTATGAAAGTTCTACAGGGTTGGCCGAGTGTGGCTCCACTGTTGGGGTTGGGTTTGGGGCTTAGAGTCTACCTGGACCCTAGAGAACCTATATACCTGTTTAGGGTTCCTTACTATGATTTCTTAAGATGAGTCCTTAAAAAGGTAGGTTATTTAGGGCTTAGGGATCAGATAATGTCATGTTACCCAGGCCCCTGGGAGAATCCAAAAAGTGGATCCCTTAATTAGGAGGTTTCGTTTCTATAAAGTACCCTTTGGTAGCACAGGGTCCCAAGTGAGTGGATCAGAACTAATTATCTATTTGTTAGATCTTTCCGGGGGTCTGGGTACGGGTGCTGGAACATCCCCAACAAGTCACTCAACAAATCATGAAAGTTCAATAGGGCGTAGTTCCATAAGACTTCCATAGGGTTCAGCTTTGCGTTGAGTTCTTTAGGGGTTCTCACAGGCATCGGTGCCATTAAGAACCTTTGACATGGAGTTCATTGTTGCTGACAGTATTTTTGGACGGTTGTCTGAAGTGTTCCATAAAAGCTCTATGTTGTTCTCAAGGGTTCAGGGTTGTTTTGAGGGCGGGGTCACTGAATGGATTCCAAAAAGTTGAAACCCCCCTAAACCTTATGGAGTTCTAAACCCTAAACCTCATGGAGCCCGAACAAACCCTAAACCCTAGAACCTTAAACCCCAAACCCCAAACAATAAACCTCATGGAGCCCTAAACCCTAAACCCTAAACCTCAAACCCTAAACCTTAAACCCTAAACCTCATGGAGCCCTAAACCCTAAACCCTAAACCTCAAACCCTAAACCTTAAACCCTAAACCTCATGGAGCCCTAAACCCTAAACCTCAAACCCTAAACCTTAAACCCTAAACCTTAAACCCTAAACCTTAA